CTAATAAAGGTATAGATGAAGAGGGTTATATGCAATTTATTCTTTATTATACTATGTGATTGTTGAGTTAATTTTCAAACCTCTTAAGGAAAAAAAAAATATAAGTTGAATTAAAGAAAGTAAATTGCTTAGTAGAAATGGACACAAATGCCATGCTATGTTATGAACATTGAACACAAGGTATGAGACACATCAACTATCCGAAATCCAAACATGTGTATGCAACTGCATATGTATTATTCTCACTTCAACATATTTAACGCATTAAATATGGTAGTTTTGTTTTATACATGAAAGGACCTAATTTAAAAATTATCTACAAAATAATTACCTTTTGGATTTTTTTAAAAGAGGTGATGACAAATGCCATCTTCAATATGATTATTGAGGTAAATAGAAGTATAAATATGTACCTTACAGACATGGATGAAAATGTTTGTCAATTGTCATCAACATAGAGCACACATACCAATTTTTTTATCATAGAAAATGTCTTATATATCACCAGCATCTAACTTATATAACTTCTGTTCCCTTGAAGAGACAAATGCCAACAATTGTTATGTAATTAATAGCTAATAAGTACTAAGTAAATTATCAAGTAACTGGTATATTATGTGAATGTAATCTAATAATTAATTGACGGCTTGCCAAATTTAGCACTGAGTAATAATATACAATCATTAGTCAACAGTTTCCATTTTGGTAAATAAAAGCTTAGTAACTAGTAGCAATTAGCACTAACTTAAATGCAAATACTTAATAAGTAATGGATATCTTATAGGCACATTTTCACATTTATAAGAGCAGCAGTGAATTTGTTATAATCATTGAATGATAGAGGAAATTGGACTAATGCATCCCGATATTATATTGTGATCTACAATTGTAAATGATACTGTTGTGCTTGTTATGAATTTCTATCTAGTATAGATGCTCAAAATTACAAGCTGCTTAATTTGCCTTTTCTGTCATATCCCCATCTATTGTCAACTTTCTGCTAGATAAAGCTTTAGTACAATGTGAGACATGGCACGCCATTCACTTAGAGGAACCCATGTTGCATGTTTTCCTTTTTTAGGAAGTACATGCAGTTAATGGGAATCCGTCAGTAAACTCCTGCTATAAAAACGTGAAAATGGTTGCAAGTTCTTGCTATCTGTTTCTTTGGTACTCATTCATATGCGTAGTGAACAATTTTTTGAACCTGAATTTAATGTAACATACACATGGAAATTATCTCTTGGTATCTCATTTAGCAAAATGAGCCGTCAGTTCATACCCATTTTTTTCCACAATATATATCGTGCTTCCGATGTTTCAGCTGTTGGTAGCATTCTATATTACTTTTCTGTAAAGCAAGATCACATATCTGTTCTGATCAAGGTTTTTTTTATTCACATTTTCTTACGCATACACCTGTTTCTGACATCTGCAGGCAGGCTGTGAAGGAGATTTTTCTTCCTTATTTTGATGGAGGTAATGGATCATTCAAGTTCTTTGCTTCTTCCTTCTTCTGATAATTTTGGCAATGTGTCTTGGACTTACAAAAGCACCAAAAGACTTCACTTTGTTTTACTTTTTATTTCTTTTAGTGGTTTAAAGCCTTAATTTAAGTTATTCTAAGGGGTTTCATTTCATGAGTTTATGGAATTAGAACAAATATTTATTTTCTCCGCTTGGTGCCGAGCTACCTTTTATATAGATTTGGTTTGATGCTAAGCTATCCCAGTTTTGTATCTTATTACCTGTTAGATAGTCTTTTAAATTGTTTTCTCTCTGTCTGGTATCATTTGTGCCCTTGTGTCATTAGTCAACATACATTCTGTTGTCTTGGCTAGTCATCTGGTTTCAGAATTCAAGCCTCTATCACTTCAGTATGTTTCACGCCTCTCATCACTTGACACCTGTCATCGCAACAGAAAATGAGGTATGAGGCATCAATTTACTTGATTTTATCATTACTTTTAGTTATACTAATATGTTGGTTACTGTTTCTTGAGATTGAAGCTGAGGCTAGTGCTGTGAAAGATGTTGCAGACCATCTCTGTCCACTTAAAATAGCTCTTGATAGAGTGGTATTAACTTCAACTGGCGTTCTTCTTGGATGCTGGCAGGTTTGTCCTTTTTCCATCTTGTTTGGTTATTATGTTATGCAACAGACCTTATGCAGAATATGGTAGAAACACAACTTCCACCACTTCTTTGGAGCTTATACTGATCAACATATGTGAAATATCTGAAATTCATTTTCGATATTTCATCTTGTCCTACTGATTGTATATTTGTATGTAACTAAAAAGACCCCTAGGAGTTATGATATTCATCTTGATATCCTTTATGGAGCCTGGTTTAGATAACCCCATTCTTGATCTACGGTTTAGGCGTCCAACTCATCTACGGTTTAGATAACCCCTTTTTATGATGGTGGGTTAGTAACAAATAGTTTAATGCCTGTACAATAACACTGCAATTTTTGTTTATTGAGTTTCCACAAATGAAAGAAACTACAATATGCTCAGCTCTGCATGGGAATTAGGGAGGAGTTGTAGTGCGTGCATGCGCAGGGGGAGGGCAAGGCATGGTGGCAGCAATTGGAGTTGCCACTGGAAGGTTCGGGGAGGGTGAGTTACATATCTGCGCCAAGAAAGAGATTTTTTTCTAAAATTGATTATGTTAATCAATGGTAATTTAATCATTTTTGAAATATTTTATCAAATTAATAGTATATAAGAGCATATTCTGATTTTATCTTAGCTGTAAGTGTGGATGATAAAAGTTAACGTTGACTAAAATTTGAATGTATACTAACTATTATGATTTGGATGATAAAATACATATGATTTGAGGGGTATAAATATAAAAACCACTAGTCGTGATTGGGTAATAGGTCATATTTTAAAGAATAGTGCTAATTGGTCTCTAATTTATAACTTTATACTCAACCAGCTTGTTCATTGGTCTTTGAAATTTACTTGAGAAATCTATTAACTTTTGCTTCCAAATAGTATATTGATGTGATACACTCAACCCCTTCATGGTCATATAACGCTGCTAGTAACGAAAAAGTAGCGAGAACGCATTTCATTGAAGTTATTGCCATGTTTATCGGTCTTGTGGGGGTGTTATCAATGTTGTTATTGCCATTGACGATACTCACTGAAGAATTCAGAGAAAAGCATACTTGATACTAAGATCATTTGTCATTTTGACTCCTATTTTTTTCCCTTAAATTTTCTGTCTTCTTTAACTTGAAACCTGATCCTAATTTTAGGTTTTATTGCCAGGTGATCTCTGGTACAGATCCACTAACAATCCGTGCAAAATTGAAAAATGCCCTTCCTAGAGCACCTGAACAGCAATTGGTAAGTAATTTTAAGTTTCCCTTCACCATTTGTTTAGTTATTAACTTATTATTAAAATGAAATAGAAAAAGGTGAGTTGATAAAATGTTTGACTTACCAGGATGCAACAGGGTCAGTATTTTTCCTGATTTTCAATTATAGTATCTGCTTTCCTTTTCTCTTTGTAGGACCTGGTTATATAACTTGCTTGTTTTTCTGTAAACAGTATGATCCAGTGTTGCTTCACACTTCATTTGCAAGGCTTTTAGGACACCCGAAAGTACCGGCAGAGGTAATGACTTGCTTATATAGTATCTTGAGGTGGTGTTATTTGAGCTTCCTTTAGTTGAAACCCACTTGAAACATATGCATGTCATACTTGTGGCATATTATAACTTTTAATTATTGTGAGAATCTTTCCACCTGTTTGTTTTATCTGCTGAAAATGATTGACTTTATCAAGCCAGTGAGCTGTTTGTTCAGTCATCTAACCTATTACTTAATTTGCAAAACTGGCATAGGTCATGAACAAGCCTTTTGATCAACTCCAGTTCTTCCATGAGCTAGTTGCACGAGTTAACCAGAAGTTGCAGGGTTTTGAGGTATTATAGGTTCCACATCAAGTTTTGATATATTATATTTTCTGTTTGTTATAGCTCACAGTTGCATCCTGGCTGGGCTGCTTCTTGTTCTTTTCAATGGTTGCATTTCAGTTTGCAAGATTAGTTATACAGAATTTGTAGAAGAATTTTTTTATTTCATTGCAGAATAAACCTTAAAAGTTGGTGTGGAAAACTTTGAAGGGAAAATTGCTAACACAGAGTAAAGTAAGATCAGGTTCCCACTATCATCAATAAATTGATAGCTCTGATAATATGTTAAATCAATGGAATCTAAAGAGGAAGCAGGGGATTAGCACATCACAGCACTTAGTTTGGCATTTCCAGGAGCTAAAATTAACTATAGATTCTACTCTATGGGAATCTTAGAAGTTGAGCAAGTTTGAGAGACTAGAACATTTGCAAAGTTCAGAAAGTTGAATTACATGTGAGCAGGTCCTCCTGTATACTCCACAGTGATCATGGGATATTTGAAGATAATAATAAATATTTTTGTTAATCCTTACTAAAAATAAAGAGATGAAAGACGATGAATACTTTGTTGGAACTAGTAGTTATTTTGACTCACGCGTTGCAGTATTAAATTGGCTTCTTTATACAATCTATGTTGCCCATATGACCAGTTTGACTTAACTTACGGTGTCTCTACTCATTTAGGCAACTGTATCGGAAATTTGGTATGTGGAGGAATATGACTTGCTTGCACTTGCACTTGATGGAAGAATAAAGGCACGAAAGTTCCGTCTTGATTGCTCACAACATTGAGTATTTCTTGGTGCAGAGAAATTCTAACCTTGTCATAAGGTAATTTTTTAACGTGAAAAGACCTTTGATTTTCTTGTAATTATATTAATATAGCACGCATAACATTATGCGTCCCGAATGCTTGGTACTTCTAATATTGGCCTGATTTTCTTGAACACTGAGAAGACTAATTAAGTGGATATACCTATCGATCATTGACCATATGTCAAGTCTAAGTAGACCTAAACAAGTACTATGTTCTTGGTGTTTGAAAGGAATGATGTACTTATCCTGTTGGTTAACATATTTGGTTACCAAACAGAGCATAAAGTAAATATGTGTTGGGATAAAGTGTATCAACATTCAGGAAAGTAATGGGTATTCTACCAGAAGAACGTGATGAGACGGTTTACTAAAGTTGTGAACATAATTGTGGAAAGAAGAAAAAAGGAGTGGCAACCATACCTGTATGTTACAGAAAAAGTTATTGATAGAGCCTTACTGCTTACAGCTGCGTTCCATTTAAGGCTAAAGTCTAATCATGTATAGCACATGAAGCTACCTCGAAGTCTTTTCCTGATTAGATGACATATCCCATACTCTCAACCATGCCATCTGTGATTTATGAATGACATTCAACATCCTGGATCAATTATGCAATCTCTCTATACTAGATGGTTATATCAAACTTTATGCTGCTTTCATGCTTGATGTAGCCATTGTCATCTGAACACGCCACATGTCTGAGAATACTCTATGTCAGAGACTGCGTGAAGATTCATATGCATGAGAATGTAAATAGGTAACATTCATGACATGCCTGCCTAATGAAGGAAAAAAAATGAAGTCTTGGGGAAATATCTAGACAATGATAGGCTAATAGGATGAAGTCTCTAGATGAAATCATGAAATAAATGAGCTATATGGGTGTTATTAATCACAAACTAATGGTTAAATAAAGTCTCTTCTGATACTGTGGGTAAATTCTAATTCGTCTGTGCTGAGTTTGCCGCTTAATCTTGTAATATTTTAGAAAGTTAATATCAGTTCTCTTTCTTTTTTATTTCCCAGCATGATTTTCTTTTTTCTTAATCTGCCATGACAAGCACTTAGTGAATATAAATGTAGAATACAAAACAGAAAATTAAATATTCTGTTCATTCATTTCAAAAATAGAAGGTTTTGCTAACCCCTCACGCGCCTTGCAAGAATGGATGTGCGAATTTTCTTTGTTTATGTGCTCTACACAGTACATCCTAAGATGAACTCTAGGAATTCAACGATAATAAAAGCAGGTTCAACAATGTATTAGTTGCCACACCAAATTATTTTAAAACTTTACCTTTGATTTTTAATAAAACTTTTATATCTATGGAAACCAATGTGCACTTGCTGATGAAGTCCATAAACTCAATAGTTAGGAAAGATGTTCAGAAAGTCTTAATCTCCAGACTAACATTTACTTTAACAAGAATGCTGAACATCCCAAAGGAAAATGTGAATTTCTTCATACGAAGAAAGAATGATGCATTTCTCTCTATTTGGATTTTTTTCTGCGATTTAAGTATGATTTCTAGTTTAGGAGACTTCTTCTCTTCAGCTTGTTCTAGATTCTTTGTCTAGAAGAATTGGAGATAAATTCATATATGAACAGGGCGTTGTACCACCATTTTGTTTTGAGGGGTAGATGGCTAGCATGTTTTTCGAGTAGTTTGATAATTTGCACTACTTATTTCTAAACCTTTTCTACACACTACTGTGTTTGCTTTGTTTTGACTGCATGTTTCATGCGCATCTAGTTCTTATTTTTCTGAAAAATATAATTAAAATGTGATTAGTAATAAATTAAAGATATATGGAAATAGGTGTCATAAAGAGGTAGTTTACTGCGGTAGTAGTGGTGGTTCACACTTGTTTTCCGCAATTTAATATTAAAAAGGAATAGAAAAGGGAAAAAAATTGGGTGGCATACATCAAGAAGAGGGACAAACTACCGCCGGGAAGGGAAGCACCTAGAGAAATTCTCCACGAAGTAGATGAGATTTATAAAATAACTTGTATGAATATTTTGTTCAATACTTGGAGTGGGGAAAACTATGGAATATCTAGACGGAACTAATATCATTTCGATTTTATATGCAGTGTTATATTTAAGTTCCACCGCTCTTATTTATTTGACCTCTTTGACGTAGCATATGCTGTGTACATTCATCCAGGCAAGTTCATCGAAGGAGTACAATGTCGTTGCACTTTCAGGTGACAGAAGGATTAAGGGAGAAAGTTCTACCGTAACGAATATGCTCTCTCAATTGTATTTCCTAACAAAACTCTTTCTCTTTTACTGTAAATGATGTACAAGTCTGAACCACATATTTATGTACTTCAAATATTAGCTTGCTCGTGTTGGATAGTTTGAGAAAGAATTCTGTTCAATTTTCTGTTTGGTATAGTAGACTGTTATACCCTGTATACCCTTATGTTAAGAGCAACATTTTTAAACTGTAGATTTTGTGGTTTTACTAATCGAAATTAGAGACCGGGTCTATTTACCGCATTTTAACACTGATTACAATCTTAGTAGCAAATCGGTTGCTTGCTATAATTTGCCGTGCCAAAGTTCGAAATCTGTAGGGTGTGGTTTTTATTCTTGGCTAAATAGCACTTAAATACCTGATAGTTTCACTCTGTTAGCACTCATGTACCTTCAGTTATATTTTGTACCGTTTATATGCCATTACTTCATCAAAATTTGTATGTTACTATCCTATGTTTTGTAAATTTTCATCTAAAAGTTCTCATATAATTTTTATATGTTAATTTTAGAGCTGTTTAACAGTTAATATTTATGAGATTACTATTAAACCTATCCAAATTCTAATTTAATTATATAATTATTCTAGTTTAGAAATAGAATTCGGAAACATTTAACAATAAATTTAACAAACTTGATAGATAGAAAGTAATGAGATTAGCATATAAATATTATGTGTGAACTTTTTAGATAAAAATTTTACGTTTGCAAAGCAAATAATATTAACACGTCAATTTTAACCAACACAGGGTATATAAATACTACGAAGTACAACTAAAATTATATAGAAGAATTTTTCACTGTAGACCCAAACCGATTTTTTATTACCAAAATCGACCGAATTTTTTTTTAATTACCAAAATCGACCCGTTTTATGCCACGTAAGTGTAATCCCATTTCCTAATTAGTCGGGGTTGCCAACCCCGACTGTTTAGGAGTTGTTAAACCCCAATTAGAAGCCTTAAACCTGATTTAATTGGGGTTTAACAACTCCTAAACAGTCGGGGTTGGCAACCCCGACTAATTAGGAAATGAGATTATGCTTACGTGGCATAAAACGGGTCGATTTTGGTAATTAAAAAAAAAATCGGTCGATTTTGATAATAAAAACTCAGTTTGGGTCTACAGTGAAAAATTGTTCAAATTATATAAGTGTTAAAGGGAATGAAATTACAAGATATTTAAGTGCCATTTAGCCTTTTTACTTTGTATACTTGAATGGTACTTAGATTTAGACAAGTCAGCTGTCTTCATATTTAATGAAAATTTAAAGCCAATGCAAAAAAAAAAAAAAAAGGAAAATCCTTAATTTACTGATTTCCTGGATCCCGTCAGTGTGACGTGTCAAAATGGTTCAAATCGAACTCTATGAAGAGAGGGGCTTTCGCGTGCCATGCACGCGCCGGCCCGCTCGCGTGCGTTCGATCTACGGATAGATCTTCAAAAACCAGGTTTAGAGAAAAGTTCTCCCAGCTCAGTGGCAGCAAACGCCAAGGAGACAGATTTCAGAGAAGTCGAGCCAACACGCGGGGTTCCGTGTCAGCCCACCGCCCTGTTCACACGCCCACGCTCTCCTGTCCTCTTCTATGGTAAGAGTCCCCAGTTTCCTTCCCAATTTAACCCTGAAATCATAAATTAACATCTCAAAAATAGTTATCCTTCGATCTCTTTCGCAACTGTAATCTCTTCTTCCTTTGATAACCCCCGGAAAGGTACGTGAAGGCTAGGGACTTGGTTTTTCGCGGTGGTCTTTAATGGGAATGATGGAATTTTTATGATTTTCTTGGGGCTACAGTTATCTAACTTGGTGAGGGGTTTTTATTGTTGCAGATTTGCGAAGTTCAAACATGATGTCGACGGAATGCAGTAAGGATGTGATCCCTGAGCACCCTGTTACTGGGTTAGTTGGAATTCATCACTCTCTTTAGATTATTTCGTTTTCTTTCCTCGAATTTTCAATTATCTGCTTTTATCCATTATTGTCATTTTGCAAAAAAAAAAAAAGAAAAAAAAAACAAGAGCCCTCGAAGTTATATGTTCATTTAAACCATCTGAGACATTTTTTTAATCGTAGAATACCCAAATTCATGAAATTTGTAGTGACTGCTTTTGTTATGGGATGGGGTGTTAGTGTATTTTTCCTATATTATATCATTTATCTAATAAGTTTTTAAATTATAAAAGGGACTAAATTTTCTAGATCCTATTGTGCCGTAAACACTGCTGTTTCTTATCGCCTAGGTAGCACGGGACTTGGGAGAGGGGAACACACAACAGTTCTTCGAAAAGTAGAACACGAGCATACGATAACATGAGATAAAAAATACAGGTGCACATGCATTATTATAATAATACTTATAATAGTACAGAGTGTTTACATATATGCATTTTTAGGAGATATATAGATAAATTATAATAAATAAGCTCTGCTTTGGCTCTTGAATAAGTGTATGCATATATCCAAGGAGCGTCTGGTACAGGTTTCGGAGCTTGGAGCTCAGTTTCAATTTCACAATAGAAGCACCCATCGTACATAATTTATCATAGTTTATCATCAATTATATCACAGATATAATTCTTTCTTATTCCAGTTTAATGCCTATGCCCATCTACTGAACGCTAGATCTGTTGATGATTTGTGATTCTTCTATCTGTATTAATCCTCACAATGTTCTTTCTTGTGTCTCTTATCTCCGTTAATGTATAACTCCACTTTGATTGTGCAGTTCTCCCTCTAACAAAAAGAAGCAGGGAAAGGTACCAAAGAAGATTCACAAGGCCGAGAGGGAGAAGCTGAAACGAGATCAATTGAATGATCTCTTTCTTGAGCTTGGTCACGTACTTGGTAATTATTTCGTTTAAAATGCCTCTTTCATCCTTTTACACACTTGTTCTAAGAAAATGGTGATGTCATTCAGATTATTTTTACTTTAGATGTTCCTACAATTCTCACATAACTTACGAGTTTTCTTGTGTCTTTTAATTTTAGGTAAAATAATACTAATTTAGAAATATATAAATAAATTTTAAATAGGATGTCATTTACCATCACACTGCTTGACTATATTCCACAATCTTTTGCAAATAAGTCATAGCATCTGACCATATTTAGTGGGTTACTTTTTCTTACTAAACTATTATGAGCATTCTCAATTACCGTGAATTGCAGCTTTGTGCAATTTGACTAACACAGTTTAATTTGCTACAGAACCTCGTCTGGAAAATAATGGCAAGGCCTCTGTACTCGGTGCTGCTTCTCGGATTCTAAGAGATCTCATTGTTCAAGTTGAATCTCTCAGAAAAGAAAATGTAGCATTAATGACAGAGTCTTCCTATGTAAGTTCCTCAAACCTAAATGTCCATGTTTTGCTCAAAGAAACATATTTACTTGTTTGTTCGTGATTTTATCGTTTTTATGGAAAGCAATTGTCTCTTTACTTTTTACAAGGAATCTGTTCTACACATGTTTTCATATTTAAATAGGAAACTGGCACCATATCTATAGGAGAAGAATAAAAATCCCACCTAAGTGGCTAAAGTTTCAGATAAGTATCTACTACTTCCTTGAAAGGAGAATTCCTAACAAATTCCTACCTTTAGAAAACTGATCTGCAGTAGCCAACAAGAAACGTTAGTGGAAATGGTCTTCATGCATATTGTACTTTCCACAAATAAAAAGAAAAGTTGAAGTAACCAAAGCTTTCTTCACAGATTAGTTTCAGCTTAGGGATGAGCAATTGATGTTTTCACCTCTAGAAATTATCATGCTAATGGAAGAATAATATCTAGTTAAAATATAGTCATCCTTCAACAATATATTTAAACTTGGAAAAAATTGCACCCTGATTGCTTGATTCTGATGCAAACATTATGAAATCTGGAGCTGTAATTGTTCCAAATTCTGACAGCGATCCTCCGAAATGCAATCAGAATCAAGCAATCCTCCAAATTCTGACAGCGATCCTCCAAATTCTGTCTCAGCCAATTACAATTTCAAAATTTTAATGCTAATGAATTGTCTTTGGCATTCGTGAATATAGGTAACAGTAGAGAAGAATGAGCTAAAGGATGAGAACATCACCCTTGCAACAGAGATTGCAAGACTCAACGTTGAGCTCCAAGAGAGACAGCAGTCTGATCCAATACCACAGCCACCCGTCACTCCTATCTATGTTCTTCCTCCCTTCCATCAAGACCTCAAAAATATGTCAGAGGCGGAAACAGCTCCAACAACAGTGAGGAAACCTCTAGCTAGATATCCTACCCCTTCTGACTCTTGGCCGTCGCAGATCCTTTCAGAAGCATCAGAGAAGCAACAGCACTGAGGAGGTAGTGAGGAGGGGATTTGAGTTAGAAGTGTATACAGGGTATTGTAGAAATGGATAGTGACAATGAATGATGATGATGAAAACCTTTTCTTTTTTACTTAGCCTTTCATGCGAAATCCAACTTATTGGTAACTACCAAGTCACTTTGACCGAGTGGTTAAGGCGTGGGCCTGGTAAGTACATGGGGTCTCCCCGCAAAAATTTGAATCTCTCAAGCGACTGGCGACCACCAAGTCGCTTTGGCCGAGTGGTTAAGACTTGTGCCCGCTAAGTGTTGGGATAAACTTGGGCCTAATAGAGCAATATTTCAGCGAATAGTAAAGTAGAAATAATAAAATGAACACACAGATTTACGTGAAAAATCTCATAAATAAATTTAGGGTAAAAACTACGGGCAATAATACAAGAATCCTTTATGAGGAAAATATAAGAGTTACAATATCTTTTTTCAATGAGAAACTCTCTCTATTTTTCTCTTTTTCTGTCTCCCTCTTTCTTTCTTTTCACTCTTAATTGGAGACACTGAGATAATCTAAGCTTAACGCTGGGGAAAGCTATATATAGGCGAGTTTGTGGTAGGTGCGCACTGTTGATACAGTAATATTTAGTGGGTCTGCGGTTGGTGATTACTGTAGTGGGTAGGTGTTTACTGTAGACACAGTAACTTTTCATCAATCCCCTACTTGAAGATTTGATTGAGTATCAATCATATCTTCACACCATTCTTTCAATCTTGCCACCTTCATGTTGCTCACGTCACCGACAGACTACAAGAGAATCGATACCAAATAAATTTAACAGAATTAACTGCTTTTGTCAAAAAGTCTGCTAGGTTGTCTTTGGTGTGAATTTTCTGCCTATTCATTGTTCCTTTTTCCACTTTCTCACCAATGAAGTGGTACTGAACTCGAATATATTTTGTTTTTGAATGAAAAACTGAATTTCTTGCTAAATGCAAAGCACTCTGACTGTCACAAAATAGAGAAATCTTCTTGTGTTCATGCACGAGTTCCTCCAGCATCATCTTCAACCATATCGCCTCTTTACTAGCTTTTGTAGATGCTAAATATTCTGCTTCTGTTGTCGAAGTAGCCACAGCTGACTGCAGTTTTAAAATCCAGCTTACAGCTCCGCCAGCAAGTGCAAATACATAGCCTGTGGTGAATTTGCTATTATCACGATCACTTGCATAATCAGAATTAACATATCCATTGACAATAAAATCTGATCCCCATAACATAATGCAAAATTTCAGGTTTCCTTAATGTATTTTAGGATCCTCTTTACAGCATTCCAATGCTCTTTACCAGAATTCGTCATGTATCGACTAACTGTTCCTACTGCTTGTGCAATATCTGGTCTTGTACAAATCATAGCGAACATTAAACTTCCCACTGCTGATGCATACGGTACTCGAGACATCTCCATCATCTTTTCTTCACTGCTAGGACTCATAGTAGAGGATCACTTAAAATTAATAGGAAGTGGGGTAAAAATTAACTTACAATCTTGCATATTAAAGCGCCGTAAGATTTTCTTCAAATAATTCTTCTAAGAAAGCTAAATCTCCCTATTAATTCTATCTCGGTAAATTTGTATCCCTAGAATCTTGTTTGCAGATCCTAAATCATTCATTTCAAATTCTCTAGTCAATTGTGCCTTTAATTCTTTGATACGATCTTTGTTAGGGTCTGCAACCAACATATCGTAAACATACAATAATAAAATAACAAAGTTATTTTTACCAAACCTCTTAAAATATGCACAAGGGTATGAATTAAGTCTGTTATATCCAAAACTCATGATGAATGAATCAAATCTCTTGTACCAACACCTCGGCGCCTGCTTTAGACCGTACAGACATCTGTTCAATCTGCAAACCAATTTCTCTTTTCATTTTTCTTCGAAACCTTCTGGTTGGAGCATATAAATTTCTTCTTCAAGATCTCAATGAAGAAATGTTGATTTCACATCTAATTCCTCTAGATGTAAGTTAAATATAACGCTCATAGGCAGGACTATTCGGATTGTTGTAAGTCAAACTATAGGAGAAAATATTTTATTAAAGTCAACACCTTCTTTATGAGCATATCCTTTTATTACCTATCTAACACGATATCACTCCACTTGATCATCTCTATTTCGCTTGATCTTGTAGACCCATTTATTTCTAATAGTCTTCCTTCCTTGTGGTAGTGACACAAGTAATCAAGTCTTATTCTTATGGAGAGCTTCAATTTCTTCATGCATTGCTGTCATCCACAAAGATGCATATGTGTTGTTATAGCTTCATGGAAAATTAATAGCTCTCCATCATTTGTTAGAAGACAGTATGCAACATTATACTCTCCGTAATATACTCCGAGTGCCAAGTCGATTGTCTTCTCTCACGAGTTGACCTTTGAATTTCTAGAGCCTCAGACTCGACTAGTTCTTGTACATCATGTTCTGATGTTGCTTTAAAAAAATTTGGATCATTTTCTATCCGAACGACTATAGTCTTTGAGTTCTTCCTTAAACAGCTTTCTTTCTCTTCACATTGTAGTTAGTTCTCTACAAAGATAACATCTCTGTTGATGATAACCTTAAGAGTAGTGGGATCCCACAAGCGATACCGCTTTACTTAGTCGATATACCCCAAGAATATGCATTTTCTGGATTTTAAATCTAGCTTTGTAATTTCTTGGGCATTGTACATTACATACACTGGACTTTCAAATATGTGGAGGTTGGAAGAATCAGCTGGCTTGCCGATCCACATATTCATCGGTGTTTTTAACTGTATTGCGGTTGATGGAGATCAATTCATCACATAACAAGTGGTTTTCACTGCTTCCGCCTTAAAGACTTTATCTAGATTTACAGTTGCCAACATTTCTGTTGTTCTTTCCAACAGAATTTTGTTCATTCGCTTCGCTACTCCATTTTATTGAGGAGTATAAGCAGTACTGAATTGTCTTTTGATGCCTTCTTACTTGCAGAATGTAAAAAATTTATTGTCCGTGTATTCTCCTCCATTATCTGACCTTAAACACTTGATCTTCTTTTTAGAGTCAAGCTCGACTCGTGCTTTGTAGGCTTTAAAGATTGAGAACACATCTGCCTTCTTCTTGAGAGGATACACCAAACATCTCCTGGAGTAACCATCAATAAAAGACAAAAAATATTTTGCTCCTCCCATAGATGTAACTGGCGCTTGTTATACATCAGAATGAACCAAGTTTAGAATAGCATTGCTTCTAGAACTCAATGTGTTCAACTTCAGCCAATGTTGCTTACTTGTAACATAATACTCGCAGAATGGAAGAGCTACCGAATTAAGTCCAGGAAGTAACTTCTGATCGGAAAGAATCTTCAAGCCTCTTTCTGATATGTGGCCTAGTTTGCAATGCCACATCATGATATGTTCTTCTCCATGGCTAGTTGATGCCACACATGAATCAGCTTCATGTAGGGTTTTTTCCTTGAGCATGTATAAATTTACAACTATCTTTTCTTCTTTTATCACTATAAGCGCCCCTCTAACAATTTTTATGATCTCATTTTCTATATGAGTCTTGCATCCGAGCTCATCCAATTATCCTAAAGACAACAGATTTTTCTTTAAGACTTTCACATGTTGTACATCTTGAATGGTGCGTATTGTACTATCAAATATTTTGATTTTGACAGTACCAATGTCAGAAACTTTCAAGGCATGATCATTGCCCATGAATACAGATTCTCCTGAGATGAGTTCATATTTGTGGAACCATTCTCTCTGGGAGGTCATGTACCAGGAGGCTGTTGAATCTAGAAACCAAATATCAGCAAACCTCTTTCTGCCTTCATTAATAGTTGTTGCTCTACTATATAAAATTTACCATCATCTGATGTGCTGACAACACATCCTTGAAATGTTAATTGCTCTGAAGACTTTTTATACCATTCTTCTTATTATGCTAATACTCCGATTTCACGTGTCCTTTTTTACCATGTTGTAGCATTTGATATTCTTCTTACTTCTTGATTTTGATCTACCATGATCATGACCCCACTGGAGCCACGTTCCGTTGATCTTCCTCTCGTTACCGATAAAGCTTCCGCTTGTTGTGAACTTGTCTGCCTGTCTTCCTTATTTTTGCGCCGACTTTCTTCCTCTAGAATAGCGGCCACAACGTTATCGAAGACTAGATTATTCGTAAGAATGTTGTTTTTGAGATTGATGATGAAGTGATCATACGAGTCAGGTAGACTCTGAAGTAGAAGCTCTGCACGTTCATTCACACCAATTGTATGCCCCAACGTTGTGAGTTAGAAGAACAGTGTGTTTAGGGTGTTGATGTGGTCGACCATTGATGTAGATTCTGTCATCCTCAGAGTGTAAAGTCTCCTTTTTGAAATAATTTCGTTGTGCATGGATTTTTCCTCATATAGCTTTGTTAGAGTATCCCAGATCTCATTTGCTGTCTTTTTCTCCTCTATGCTTGATAGCACCTCATTTGCTAATGCCAAATGAAGATTAGCAATAGCATTTCCGTCCATCTCATTCCACTTTTTATCATCTGTGATGTTATCTGCCCTTGCACCGATGGGCGCTAGGCAATTATCTTTTCTCAAGTTAACCTTTATCTTCAACTTTCACAATGAGAAATTACTCTCGTTGAATTTCTCGATCTCGAACTTCGCCACCATTGTTTCTACCATGAACATTAACTTCTTACTATTTCATGTAAACAATAACTATATTTATAAACAGTAACCGTATCTGTGAATAGTACTGTAGTTGTGAATAATATCGTGCTTGTGAATAGTATAGTATTTTTGAGCAGTATTGTGCTGTGAATAGTACCAGTTGTCTTCAAATTGTAAATGATAATCTAACTTATTTTGTGATGTGGATGATCCACTTTTGGTGATAGCCACAGAGTATACGATAAGTAGATACACGCACCCTAAGACAGTCTCTGATACCACTTGCTGGGACAAATTCGGGACCCAATAGAGCAAGATCCCAACGAATAGTAGAGCAGAAATAATAAAATAAATACACAGATTTACTTAAAAAAAACCCCAAATGAATTTTGGGTAAAAACCACGGACAATGATAGAAGAATC